TATAATCTTCTATGTAGGTATATACGTATTGTCTAAGCTAGGGCTTGCGTAATATCAGTTGTATGCACGAAATTTAAAATGTCCAATCCAATATGGTGGACAAAAATGTCTACATTAAATGTCTACATATATAATTGGTTTGTAACTACAATTAAAGTTTTCTTTTTAATTGCTTATAGCGAATCTTATGTCTGATCCATGTGTTACCATATATACGATTTAATATGGCCAAAATAATTGTAACATTGTTTGAATTTTAATACAAAATTTCAGGTTAAAGAAATGGAAGAATAACAGTTTGCTCGCGAACTTTTATCCATGTGGATTCAGATGAAAAGTTAGGGTTAGATATGGCAAAATCCTATAAAAAATTTATTTCATGTGTTTTTTATAAATAAATACAAATTATCACTCACTAGACAAGCCAGAGGCGCTTTATGCGTTCTCCTTAAATTTTTCATAGATTTGAAACGTTTTCCGGCTATTTATGTAGCTAAAAAAAACACGCAAAAAAACATACGTAACCTATATATTTGCAATACTGGTGCATTAAGGATTTTTCGTATTTTTTATTTTATTCCTGTTATTTAATCAAGATTTAGTTTATATACAAGTTTTTACAATGAACTTTGACATAACAATATCGTAAAAACTTTAATTAAAAACTTTAGCTATATTATTATCTTTTTTATCCACGGTTTTTCTTGAATATAGTCATGTAAGCATCCCCAGCCAATCACATGACGAATAAACGGCTTTATACGAAATAACTTATCTTTTTGAGATAGGTTTTTTGATTGCGCTCATGAGTGCTCTTTTCTCAACTCGAAAGAATTTACTTCAAAACTAAGCAGTTATAAGCGGTTTTTTATTATTTTAAATGTACAAAAAGTTAGGGTGAATCTCAAAGCTATGTACTTACATTCCCAAATTATAACAAGTAAATTTTAATATAGTAGCACTTTCTTGCGTTACAAGCATATGCTCAATTTATAGTTCAGCATTTCATAAGATTCTACTAGCGTGGTGGCAGTTTATGACCATGGTTGTTGATAAAAAGTATTATTTCTCTATAAATTATAATCATGCATATTGGTATGCCCAGATCATTGTGCATAAAAAAATTAGTAGAGAAAAAATTCATATGACTGTGCATAAAGCAAATAAATTAAAAAAAATTTGTTTTCTAACAACTACGTACCTAAACTGCCACCACGCTAATAGAATCTTATTAAATGTTGAATTAAAAAATCAGCATATGCTTGTAACGAATGTAAGTGCTTGTGAAAATATGCTGCTATTCTAAAAAAAGTAAGATAACTTTTGAGTAGGAATAAGCAAGTTTTACTGTACCATTTTGTGTTTCTTATTTTACTTGCACCAAATATGTAATCTCATGTAATGAGCTTGCGTTGCGTGTTGATATGCAAACAGAATATTCTTACAATAAAAAATATAATATTAGGACGAAAAATGAATCAAATAATATTTATCAAGCTCTGAATTAAATAAAGGTAAGTTCAGATTTTATTAATATATCTTCAATTAAATCTAAAGACTCTTTACAAATAAAATATGCATTACTACTAGTTTTTACTTTCACAAGTAAATTTTTCCGTTATTTTTTTTTAATGCTGGTTTAAACAAGAAGGCTTTCTGCTTCTGTAATAGTTTACACTGTGAAAAGATATGAAACTTATAACATCGACTTAGGCTTTCAGATTCTAAAGTTTTATGTACGATTTTTGCTTAGATGAATAGAAATGCGTATATTTTGGGTATTCGCATAGGCCTACAGTTAGTCTTATTGTCAATGAACATTACAACAGACAATGAGCTCAAATGTTAAAGAAGGCCGGCCTCGAAAAAAATCAAAAATAAGCATTAATACTGGTCGAAAACGGAGAAGCAACGAAGGTGCGTCTCGAATGATTGTACATCGACGTGCATTGTAAATTGCAACAGCAGCTGAGAATAACATATTGGTGTTAGAGTTAGCTTTAAAACAAGCTAAAAAATATAATAATGATAATTTGTCTGAAGATAAATCAAATATTCTTTCCGATACAAAAAGAGATGACATGCACTCAAACTAATCTGCATTGGCTTTTTACATCGAACATGATTACAGCAAACAAAATATCTTGCATTAGTGAAAGACGTTAAAGAGAATGGCAGCCAAATTCACCCAAATGACGATAAATTAAGCATTACTATGGAAGCATGCAAACCTAATGAATGCAGTATTTCTGAAGTAGAAATATGTACACCGTTGCAGAGCATATTAAATAAAACTGGAGAGCGTTTATGTAACTCCGTGGCTTTGGATTGGTCAAAAGATGCTTTGAAGAACTTGGAGCTTCATGTAACTCTGGGTTTTGACAGCTCCTCTGGTTACAACAACAGTCATCAAAGATTTGAAAATAAATCCAATGAGAACTTACAAGCTCAGTATTCTCTTATTGTAAGCAGCTGTCCTATTGTACAGCTGAAATGTACAACTAATTCAGGTGTTTCTGAGCTTTGAAACTGTATTAATTTAGATGAATATAATGTTTTCATATACAAAACCATAAATCATAACATTATTGACAATTATATTTCCGATAAAATTACTGGTTAAACCAGAAATAATGTAAAACAGTAGTAAAATTAATAATATTTAAAAATATTATAAGTTTACTTCTACAATTACAATTTTTTTAGACAAAAAAAAAGTTTAACAAGATCTTGATATTATTTTCTTTACTTTTTATTAATTCAACACATTTTTTATCGTCTGAATATTGTCTCTTTATTGTCTATTCTTCATCTTGTTTCGAGAATTAGATACAAGAGCGAGTAAAGTAAAACTTTAGTTAAGTCTTGTGCAAGCTATTATGTTATTATATGTATTATAGATAGAGTTTAATTTTACTTCTTGGTGTTTATTTCTAAAGATTTTTTGTGAAACCTGACCCCACAAAGCTACAGATTTTGCAGACCATTAAGATTGGCGATCGAAAAAGAAGATGATGAAACATCGGTTCAGCAATATTGTCGACTGAAGAATGAGATACAGACACTTAAACAACGCATGTTCCTATTGACAAATGGGAAAGCAGTTAAAATGACTTATATTATTTTTGAAACCATGTTTGATGGTAAAGCTCTCAACTCAATAGTCAGCAATAAGTCATCTTCATTCTGCACAATGTGTTTAATCAGTAGCTATAAATTTAAGAACTTAGATGACAATTGTACTCCAACAAAATCGTCACTAAAACATGGGTTGAGCTTACTTCACTGCGAAATACGATCCTTCGAGCATTTAATTAGATTAGCTGAACGGATAAAGTTGAACCTGTCACTGTGGGACATCCCAAAAAGCAAAAAAGGTATAACGACTACTTAACTGCTTAAATTTTATCTCTAAGTCCACAATTAAGGTGCAAGACCAAAAAATATGGTCAAAAGAATCGTAACAATAGATTAAGTGTTTATTTACTTTCTCATAATAAACCTTGTTTACGTTCTATATTATCTTTTACGTTCTATATTACTTAATTATTATGGAGACCTTAGGTAATTATTACAAATTTCGTGTGATACATATACAATAAAGAGCATCCTTAAATGAATTTTCATAACAATGTTAATTTATGTTAATTAAATTTCAATCATTACGCCTTTCTTAAGATAATATTATTTTGCAATCCTTAAGTTTTAAAGTGTGTTCATTATTTTGCAGACGATCTAAAAAATAAAAGTATCATCATTAAAGAAAAAGTCTATGAAAAATTTCATGTTCGCATAGATCAAATTTTTTAAGGTCGTGGGACTTCGAATATTGGTGATATCGCGAGGCGATGCTTTCAATATCCAGAAATGTTTGCAGAATGCCTAGGAATTTTACCGGAAATAGTAATTAATATCGCTCTAATATTATCGGCCTTTAAATGCTGTAAAAATTTAAATTTGGAAGAACTGGAACAATTTTAACACGAAACGTATAACTTATACTATAAAACGTATCCGTTTGCAAGAATGAGTCCTACTGTTCACAAATTTTTGAAACATGGCTGTGCCATTGCAAGACAATTTCCACTACCCATGTTTTTTTATTCCGAAGACGGGAACGAGTCGTGGCACAGATTGTATCGTAAGAACCAGACCTCACACGCACGACAAATATCCAGGAAAGCAAAATTATTAAATATTTTTAATCGAGCCCTTTACTGTAGCGATCCATTCGTTTCTTTAATATTGATTGACGAAAGAATGAGAAAACTGAAAAATGTTTGTGCAGCTTTGGATATCAGAAGATTCCTCGGAGACAGGTAAGTTAAAACAATAAGATCGTTTAATTCATTACTTATTAATTGGTTCTTGTTTTAGTGAGAAAGTTGACGATGACAAAAGTTATGATGAAAGATATAGTGAGGATATGACCAACTCACAGAGTGAAACTAAAAGAGATTACTGAATGTTATTAAAGATTATATATAACTCACTATTTTTTTATGTTTATAATACTTGATGAAAAATATATGATGAACTCGATAACTGCAAAGTATTTAAACTGTTATATATTTTTAAACATTACTCTTTTAATTTATAGATTTATAGAAGATATTCTGGAGGGAGTTAGGATGGAAGGGAGACTTTTTTAGTGTTTGCAGTGCAAGAATAATACGTGAATCGTCTTGGTATAAAACTTTGCGTGTACCTTAGAACGATCCTTATTTTAAATTTATGACTGTTGATCTCATCTTTCAGGTATGCCTTGTTCCAAGAGTCAATATTATCCACGTCAATGTAAATTACACAAACGGTAGAAAATTATTGTATACTGCTTAGAGAGCGTTGAGTATATTGTTTATTTATAACAACGTATATAGAAGTATATGTATAAGAAATGGACTAACATTGCCACCTCTGGCAAATTACAATTGTATGATATATGCTGACTCTTAGCACTTGAACGCCGGTGCAATAGAGATCTCATCTGTCCGTCAAAGCATGTGGTCATGCGTATTGTGTATTGTTAATATAATTATGTTCTTTGTTCATATAATCTTATTAACTATTACAAGGTGTGTTTAATCAATCATGTTCATTCAAGGTCATGAAAAAGTAAGACGCTATGTATTTAAAGTTATCAATAGATTTGCGAACAATATGCCGGAATAAACTGGAGAAGATCAGGTTAANATTTGGTATAAGTAACTTAAATAATAACAACTTTAACAATCATATTCAAATTTTTATAATGTTCCCGATTTTTTTCCACCATATTGGATCGGCCATTTTGAATTTTCAGATTTTCATAGCAGATTATTAATAAGCGAACAGAAAAACCCCCGAGTTACTATTTTTGCTAGGACTAGAAAACTTTTTGAATTTTGGTCCACCATATTGGATTGGACATTTTGAATTTCGTGCATACAACTCATGTTACGCAAGCCCTAGCTTAGACAATATGTACATACCTATATAGGAGATTATAGCATGTAAACATAACTTATTACGTACGTTTATTAATAAAAAAAATAAATTTATTTTAATTCAGAAAAATGCATAATTTTGTCAGCCATATTGAATCAACCATTTTTTTCATTACTAG